GCAATTTACCTGGGGTGATAAATGGTCATTTTCTTGTAAAATATTATACTTACACAAATTTGTCTTCCAATAACCACCCCTAAAAGCAACCCTTCTAAACACTATAAGCACTTCAGAAAGGCTGTCACTTTTGCTTTTCGGAAGTTAGAACTATGTCGGCACTGCCGTTTCAGGGCGGGGTCATTTTCAGGACTTTCGTCCAGGATTCAGGTTTTGGCACATATACCATGTTGACCGCCATGGTCATTTTACCCTAAAGCAGATGAGATTACCTGTGGTAAATGAAATGCATACAAACTCATATACAGGTCCTAGACTATATAGAGTTTTGGTCTTTGATTTTTGGGTCTTTGATTTTTGGGGTTTTCGGACTTGATCGTTTTTGGTTATGAGACATGTTGCCGGAACACCAAGTTAGCCAACGGATAGAGACTAATGGCTCGGCAAAACATTATGGGCTACACCCTTTCCTTCACGGAGTCAAGCCTTGCGCTTTTTCTATTGCCTAGCGCTTATCTGGGGCCTGGGCTTTTTAGTGCTCCACACTACTACAGGGTGTATCAAAAAAAGTAAGACAATTTTGAAATTGCTCTCATTTCCACAATTCTGTTCATGAAATGTAATTTTTGATATGTATGGATTGCTTGAGTTCTTAAATTATGGAAAATATAAAAAAAATTGAAAACAGTAAATTTTGCTATCCAGGGGAGTGGTCAACTTTTGCTCCCCTAAAAGTGGCTGGCGCACGGAAATAACAAACGGTATTCTTTATTTGAGTTCATGTATGAAAAGTTCGCTATTTGTTGCATTTATGATAAAATTTTGGCAGGATTTTGCCGAGTACAAATCCTCCGAAAAGCCAATGAAAACGCTACATTTTTCTCCGTTGGTGCTGTTCTTGCTTCATTATGAATTCATTTTTACTCCCATGAGAGTTGCATGGAATTTCCATGGAATTTGTGCTTTCGAGTTATTTGTGCTGAAACGCATTTTCTCGTATAATACCCCGTACACTTTGAAATGGCGATGCCACAATTTACCCCGCAGCAGAGAGCTTTTATGGTATCAGAGTTCCTCCGTAGCAACAACATAAACTTGGTTCGCCAAAGTTTCACTTCAAAGTTTTATTTACTTAAAGAATTAAGACACATAATTAACATGACTCATTTAAAATCAAAATGCAAATGCAAATTTGTGAATTCATAATGAAGCAAAAACAGCACCAACGGAGAAAAATGTAACGTTTTCATAGGCTTTTCGGAGGATTTGTACTCGGTAAAATCCTGCCGAAATTTGATCATAAATGCAACAAATAGCGAACTTTTCATACATGAATTCAAATAAAGAATACCGTTTGTTATTTCCGTGCGCAAGCCACTTTTAGGGGAGCAAAAGTTGACCACCCCCCTGGATAGCAAAATTTACTATTTTCAAAATTTTTCATATTTTCCATAATTTAAGAATTCAAGCAATCCACACATATCAAAAAATAAATTTCATTAACAGAATTGTGGAATTGAGAGCATTTTCAAAATTGTCTTACTTTTTTTGATACACCCTGTATAATGATTTGCGAATTTCAGGGGACGGACCGCGCTTTTTATACGGACCATGTTCTATCCACCGCTTTTATGCCGGATGGAAGGCCAGATTAAAAATTGCACATCACTATTAAAATTTAAAGCTTTTCGACTAGCTTGGTTCCTCTTGCCAAGCGAAATGCGAAAATTCTGAGGATATTCTATCAGTCACTGTTAATATTGACAAATAGTATACTATACATCAAAACTGAATAATGTTTACTCAGGGCCGTAATTGGGGCAGGAGTTTAGCACCCCAAAGAAAAGTCAGGGAAGGAGGGAACAATTTCTTAATTGCAGAACGTGTTAAATATTAAGGAATACTGTGAAAAATTGAAGTCCAAAAAGCCCTGAAAAAGTATTTTTAACCCTCCGATTATCCCAAAAAAGGTTTGGAAAATATTTTTAGAGCGTTTTATTTTCGCACAAAAACGTCGACCTCCTCTCCCCCTTCTTCCCCCATCACCAACATTTTTGAGGGGGGGGGGGGTAGTCCGAAAGGAAGGGTGGCCCAAAATTTTGAGTTCACTCATCCCCCCCCCCCCCTTTGCCCCAACCAGATATCGCTCGGTACGTCCGTGGTTTTACTTTTGAATATTAAGCTTGAATATGTGAGAAGTGAGTTATAATTAGCTACTAAATCGATGAACAATATCACGGCAGTCGGCAGTATGTGTTTTAATTGCCGCTCTATATAGCTAATGTTGAATATTATAATGGACCATTATTTGCAATTTACTATCTTCAAATAGAATATAATCTAAAAACTAGAAACCTAGAAACCTAAAAATCTAAAATCTAAAAGTCAAGAACCTGAAAATCAAAAACCTGAAAATCAAGAACCTGAAAATCAAGAACCTGAAAATCAACAACCTGAAAATCAAGAACCTGAGAATCACGAACCTGAAAATCACGAACCTGAAAATGAAGAACCTGAAAATGAAGAACCTGAAAATGAAGAACCTGAAAATGAAGAACCTGAAAATGAAGAACCTGAAAATGAAGAACCTGAAAATCACGAACCGAAAAATCACGAACCGGAAAATGTAGTATTGTATAATATCCGCATATACAATTATTTCATATTTATTACAGTAATACACCAGGCACATTATAAATATTATAAAGAGCTTTCATTACCAGTAGCTTTGCAGCTTGATCTATCCTAAATTTCATTTTGTCATGGAATAGCATGAGATCCAGCTTGTATTTTTAAAATAAACACGCTGCTGTGAGACATCAAATATACAAGTACTGATCGCCTTTATTTTTAGCATCCAACTATGCCGCACTAGAGACAAAATGCAGCTTATCAATATATCAATAGAAACTTTAAATAGAATCACAGGGGGTCCAACTAAGAGCTGTGTTATGAATATGAATAAAACATATTAATTAAACGTAATATGAATAAAACATCATAACGTAATATATTTAAATTATTGCACTTACTTGTATAAATCATATAAGAGCTTGTATTTGCAGTGAATAGCTTGAAACAGGGCAGTTATATATGCTCAGAAACACTGCTTCGAACGATTGTTCAAATATATGTACGTCTCAGCAACGTGTCGTGTGCGTATCGTTTAATCTTTTTTATGGTTAAATGTGGCCAATGTATGGCCTTTCAAAATAAAATATCTATCTCATCTTTTTGTTAATGGAATCGATTTTGTATAAATTGCAAATTTAATAGGAAAATCCGATAATTCCCGTAAATACTAACCCAGTGAAAACTAGTAAAAGTGAAATCAAATTTAAAACCCAGGCACATATTCAGTTAATTTTGAAAATTTGATATCGGGATTCGTGCTCCGATTTCATTTTCATCTGGCACATATTGCTTTAGTTTATATAATACTAATAGGTGCTCAAATTCAAATCGGGATCAACATTTGTTGTTCTACATACAGCTAAAGAAGTGTAGTTTTGTAAGAATCAGTTCATCTTTATACGTTTCTCGTTGAACAAGTATCGCTGATCAAACTCTTTGAGGTATATTGTATAATACTATAATTATAGTTTTAAAAAATGTCTATAACTGATATATAAAAATTGATGAACATGCATGCTCAAGCTGCATAAGTCGGTGTAGTCGCAGCAGGTTTTCGCCATTTTAATATTTTGTTTTTATTGTTGTTGATTCCCGGCTGTAAGCATGATATGTAGTTCTCTAGTTTTTATCAAGTCAGTAAAGAGGAAAACGTCAATCATGTGTTTTTTGATGGGAAGGGAACGATGCATGTTTTGCAATGGAACACGCCGAAAATCATAGGAAACAAGGAAACATCTAAGCTTGGGGAACAAGAGAAAATGTTTAAATATTTTCTGGGAACATAGGAAAACTTTTCAAGAGATGATATATGATTTATTGATGATTTATTTAGTTCTTACGCAGTTATGTGAATTTTGTGAGGCTGGACTAAATCGTGTCACAGTGCATGCATAAGATGCATTATTCCGTCTAAAAAACAGTTTAAAAAGTCAAAACAACCACTAAAAGTAGTTTCGCATTGGGTAACAAACAGCCAGCTGCAAAATCGTCATATCAACTCAATATATAGCTAACCAAATATAGACTTTTGACATGATATAATTAAACAGAGTGACGTCATAAGGTTGATATGAAAAATCATATCAACGTTATGACGTCATGCTGTGGAAATACAAATACGAAATGTGGGAGCACCGTAAAACAATATGGTTTGCCTTTGGTTAAAGCGGAGCATATTTTAAAATATGAAGGAATACCAACGAAAACAGCCAGCTAGGAAAGTTTTGAAATATCTTGCGTATGAAAGTAAAAAAGGAAATATTTTCTGCAATTTGGCTTCGGTTGATAACTTCAACTTCGCGTTTGATAATTCTTCATATTATGCGAAAATTCAATAATTGTAAAATATCGCGTTCCTGTCAACATCATATGGGAATTTCTCGCTAGCGCTTCCCAGGTAACTCCTCGAATAACTGTCAACATCTTGCTGCATATATTAAATTTAATTGCTTTCTCCTTTGCTTGCTGGACAGGTTGTGGCCCAAGCGGATACAAGTATTGTTACCAGGCTTCGAAACGCGATCTTAAACATTTGCAGATATCCACGAGGATGTAGACGTATGTCCGATATTATGGTGAGTTGTCTGATTCCGTCAGTTCCAGACAAAGAAGGAAAGAAAATGTATAAAACCGTGGGTGATTTTCTTGATGAACACGTTTTCAATTCAGCTAACAACTATTTCGACAGCCAAGCGCCTTTTCAACTTGAAGACATCTTAATCTCCGGGAGCCAAAGTGAAGGTACGCACAAGATAAATTTAGAGACGGAATCAATATCTGACACGGATTACATGCTTATATTAAAGAACATCAAAGTCACTCAAGAAGACCAAAAGAAAGGAAACCTTACAGTTAAAGAAAATACAGCATTTGTGAACTTGTACCTAACAGATAAAGACCTTATTAAGATGTGGGCTGATTTCTTGGAAACATCGAGTAATGCAAGGTATGAAAGAAGTACTAAGCTTTCGTCGATGAAACTGAAAGAACGATTTAGAGAAAAATATATTACTTACAGACCAATCTTTACGCCACTTGCCAACGAGGATGTTCAAGACGTCGACGAAGGACCATCCATAGCGGTTTGTTCAAAAATACCTGGTAATGCAGTAACGAATCAGTCAAAAATCATGCATTTTCCAGTTGCAGAATTCGACTTTGTCCTTGCAATCAAGTGCGACGGATGGCCACTATGTGCCCAAGAATGGTTATCTAGACCAAGATGTTGGCCAAATCAAGATATCGTTCAAGCAATCGTCGAATGTGGTTTTCATATTGTCTGTAAAAGATCTTCTGAAGGCGACTTCCGGTTGTCTTATTCCAACGCAGAAACAATCCTAATTCAAAACCTCAGTGACCTGCAGCACAAGACGTATCGCGCTTTTAAATCGTTCGTTAGCCATTTTAAAAATGAATGGAGCTCTATAAACATCAAGAATATCCTTTGTTCCTATCATCTTAAAACGATCCTACTATGGTATTGTGAGAAATCTGATCCAAGAGACTGGACTGAGGAAAGAATTGTCGGTCATCTATTATCACTTATAGACGACCTGATATCTGCGTTGAAGGAAAGAAATTTACCGATGTATTTCATGCCAAAGTACAACTTGATGGAGCAAATGGATGGCAGTACAGAAGTAGTTGAGAAGATAGTAGAATTACGTTTCAATCTTCACTCGATTACTGAGGCAATAATCTGCGAGGAACCCAATATTCTGGATTGGGTGAACTTCTTTTTTAACCTATTACCTGGATTGCTCCAGCCTTTCAAAGAAGGTATTGAAAAACGAAATTTTGACCCAAAAGATTTTCTTCAATATCTTTACACGATACAGAATTTATTTGACGAGTTTTGGATCAATGCTGCTGGAAAGATACCGACAAGAAATGACGTGCAAGGGAAAAGAGCGATGAACATTTTGCTTGGGCCATTTATGAAGTGTATGGACAAATATTGCAAAAGTATGAATCATATTTACCTAAATAAACCGGTGAAAGAAGAAGATGAGAATGAAAATTGAATACCTTTTGGTTTGATCACAAATAACAAAGATCCACAACATAAAACGAAGAATTGGATTAATTAAAAAATTATAAATATATACCTTGCACAACACAAAACAACAGACGTAACAAATGACGGCACAATATGGTAAATATAATATTCAAATCAGGTGATCATTTTAATGGGTAAAGAACATGTAAATGGGTCGGTTGGGTATGAAATAAAAATAACTGATTACGGATCATGCATCGTGATATATAAATATAAAATAAAATTTATAAACCAATTGTATTGTGAGGACCGCAAGTTCTCACATTTATCACAAAGAACGTCCTTACCTGGCATGGAAATGTCTTTAATCTTCTGTATTTTTGTCTGAACACGACTATTATAGATATTTTGTGTTTCAAGGCACTTATTACCAACAGGTTTTTGGAACAGCGATGGAATCGCCAGCCTCTACACCGGTAAGACTTTCGTTTCGGAAGCGCCGGACTGGGGTTTGTAGCCATATATATGAAGTTATCTTCTATTGCAACATTTATTACTGAGCTGCCCATTCAATTCAATTCACAGTAAATGGGGTGATAGTAGGTAGAGGATATTTCGTGGGCCGTGAATTGCCAATATTTGTTCAAATCGATGTCCGAAATTTCTGGCCATGTTTCAAAAGCGTAAAAATTTGGTTAAGAAAGGCATTAATTAAATACTCAAGATAATTTTTTACATGTCAAACGTGATGTCAACAACTTTTGAGTGACGATATCCATGCAGGTAGGAGCGAGATCATTAAATTAATCGATTTGAAGATCTGCATAATAGCTTTTCTCAGCCAAGGTGCTTGAATAGACGATCAACATTAGATCATCGTGACATAATAATAATAATAATAATAATTAAAAATCTCATTAATAATTCACGAGGAAAATACAAAAGATATGAATGTTTAATCAATGTTTGTAAATCGGATAAAGATTTGTCCTGATTTACATAAACTTCAGCTTTGATTTTCTTGGGTTAGACAATGTTTATTTTTAAAATTACTTCACCAATGAACTCATAAGATGGGTAGACCGTTTTTTAAGCACGTTAAAACGTTCGCATCCGATCTTTATCTGATATACAAATTCTCGCCTTCGGCTCTGTTCATGTTTTAACTAATAGTAATAATAATTTTTTAAACAACAGAAATCTTTATTAATAACATGATAATTTTACAAATATCACATAATTAGACTTTCAATTAAATCAGGAAAATAGAGAAACAGTTCACTATATTAGACAGATAGGTCCATTCTCTACACTTTATATCAATAGTAGCTAATAAAAATTCAGTAAGTCTGGGTTATTCCAGGGCTTGTTTCTTTTGCAGTAAATGTAGAATGTTGCTCTCAGAGCTACCTACATACATTTTTTAATAATACGTTCGTCGTTCATTTCAAGTGTTCGTAATAATCTACGAAATCTGTCAATATCTTTCGACACAAATCCTAGAGTGGTTACTTCAAGTGTAATGACTTCAAACGCATAACATGCACGTCGTGATCAACTCAGATCTTAGATGTCTGTATCTTTCTTTCTTGCGACGTTTAGCCTTCGTACAATTG